CTAACCGACTGCAAGGCAATCTCAGACCCTCCACCCACCCACAGAGCATCTATTAGATGGGATATACAGAACACACACTCTTATAAACACATAAACAATGTGAAGGTTCACTTCACACTCACAAGCTGACTTTTACATGGACAAAAAGCAGATCATTGTGTTTGCAGACTTGTGTTTATATTGTGCAATGCATGTGGGTGTTTAAAGTGCTCTGCTGGTGCTGTTGTTATTTTGTGGAATGAATGTGCAATGGAAATGTAGGCAGAATCCTGGCAAAGTATTTGTATGTTTGGTATTGTGAGGCTGAGGATTTTTTAGCATTGGAACTGAGTTCTGCTCTATTTAATGCTGCTATAGTTTTGATTTGGAGAAGGCCTTGTATCTTAAATTATTTTAGTGACAAAAATCTAATGCTATTTTATTATTAGAATTTTAAGACTCAATTTAAATGTGATTCAACAGTGCTTTAATTCCAAACGGATTAATCTGAATTGCATCATCTTGTTGCATTGACGATTATGTCGTTAAAATTTTAACTAAAGACTAAAATGTTGTACTTGTTTTACTGTGTAATTTAATCGGGTTCAGTCGAATTTAAATGCTAGTAGCATGTAAAACATTCGAAATCTTTAGCTATATATATTAAACATGCTGTATTATATATATATGGCCGGTTGTTAGACTCCGATTGCTAATAATTCACAATGATAATAATAGATTGCCATCCTGCATGTTGGCAGCACGCCCACGTTTCCCAATCGATAAACAGAACCAAATACACGGGCGCGCGTCCATTTGAATGCGGCTGAACACTTGCGGTGGCTCAGAGGTTAAATCGTAAAATCATAGAAAATATTATCCGTTAACATTGTGGTTACGTTTGTGAATGTGACTAGTGAAACGTTACTGAAAGCTGAATATGAGCATGACCTTCATAGTAATTCAGCAGACTCCCCTAATACAGTCTTGTCTTCATATTTGTGAAAATTATAAATCTCTCTCAGGGTTTGTCTGAAACGCGTTTTTATATAAAACCTTTATATTAAATACCTTTACACAAATAAAATAGGCTACCTACCTATGTGTAGGACTGTAGGTATAGGCCTGTGATATATTTCTATGTTTTATGCAATTGTAAATTCTTTTGAATAATTCAATCTCCTGATGCGAGGGGGGGGGGGTCAGAAATTATTTTTCAATCAAATAATAAAGCCAGCGCAAACAGCTGTACTGTATGAAGATGCTCTTAGACATAAGATCGTGTGTAATGTAAGATGTAGCCTATTTTACATGAGCTTAATGTTATAATTGTATTATTATTATTGTTATTATTTTACAGTTAAAAATCTAGGCTTTACACTTAAGTTTAAGTAGCAACCTAAGTTTAAACTTTACAACGTAAAGAAAGTTAAATGTACCTTGAGTTTCATGAACACACTGAGGTTTATGAATGAATTCCTCTTTTTCTGATGCAGTCCGTTAAAACACCTACCCCAGAATATTAAATATAAAAAAAAATTGCAAATGTAATTTTAAATATTTATAGGCTATAGAACATTTATAGCTGTATGTAGTTTTAAACTTTTAGAATTGTTATTCCTCAGTTTAAATTTTGTATAATTGTAAAGATACAGTCAGACGCACAAAGTTTTATTTTCATGTGATTTTCCATGTTTCATGGGCCTGCTCTCCGTGAGGTTCGGGCATGTTAATTGAGTTATTGACTTTTTCATCGATCGACTGCTTTTTATTATTCACCATGCGTCCTATTATTTTTTGGACGAAATTAATTTGTTCTAGCCCTTTTATATTTCGCCTCTGAATGCACGTTTTAGTTTGTAGTAGGCTACGTATCATTTTTAATTCATTTATTTTTGTGCTTTTTGACACTTGTTAACGAAGCCAAAATATTAAGACTGATATAAAACATTAACAATAAAACAGGAGACAAAAACGCATGAAAACAAATATTGTTGAATATAATGTAAATAATCAGTTTTAATAACCTACTTCAGATGGATGAAATTTGTTAAATCTGAAAGGTATAAGTGACAAGGTGTAGGATAACAGTAGTAAAATATTTTTATTACAATTTAAGCTTGCTGCACAATTTCATAATTTTTTTTTTTTATTATTGCATTAGCAGATTTGCGTTAGTTTTTTTTAATTTTTATATTGCTTATGGTTTTTAATAAAGTCTTTAATTGTAATATTTTGTTAGGCTAAAGCTCTGCAGTCAAAAGACAAACAGATAAACATGAACAGCTAGATTTAGGAAGTCATTTTTAAAAACAATATTATTTAAATATTTTTTTCCCCCATCGTAACTCTTATGAGGCTACAAGTACAAACAGTGATTAGGCTACTATTAATTTTCTAGTTTCAACAGAAATATTTTTCGCTTTGTATGTCTCCTCACAAAATAAATGCACATAAATTCTATTCTGACACAAAGGTTTCAAGAAACCACACAAACATGACTGTTTCCAAATGTGATCAATAACATTTATGTCTGAGATTTATCAGAAGGCCGAAAATACCAAGGGGAAACAAATCTGGCTATACCTCGTAATAGATATTACTTTTGAATGGCATTGAATTGTAAAGTTATTCCGTAAATAGGCTACCATAAACTTATTTTATATACAGAATAATCTGTAAATTTTGCACAGTCTGTTTAAACTATATGTGCTTTCGTAGTCGAAGTAGAAGGTTCTGTCGCACGTCCATCATTTCATAGCCTATATTTAGTTTTACCCATTTAGGCCACTATATAAACTAGGCTACATTTAATTATGTGCTGAGTGGTATGAGCTATTTAACACCTTCTCTACGGTCTCAAAGACAAGATAGTAGCATTATGAACTCTTCAATAACTTTCAAAGAACACACACTGTTCTTATCTGTCTGCTTAGCTCTGCTCGTTTAGCCTCATGTACGTGTTAACCTGCAGGCTTCTTGGTACACACCACTCGGGAGGAGGACGTGGCTCGACCAAAGGCTCAAAGAACTCAATAAATAATTTACTAACTCGCTGGCCGCTGTTTTGATTTCCACGGTTTGTTTTGAACAATGTTTGATCATTGATACGTGTCCCAGATAGAAAAAGAGAATTGGTGAATAATATTCTGCAATGCCTTATGGTGCCGAACTTGTAGCTCTCAGATAAGCTTTCTCTAATTCGTGCAGAAATCTTAAGAGTGCTACATGAAATTATTTTGAGATAACAGTAATATTAATAATAAACCTTCCTGATGCACCGGGGGAAAAAATGCATGGAAGTCAGAAAGGAGACGTCATTGTCACACAACCATCCATAATGATCATTGTTGTTGTTTATCTATATTATAGGCTATTTTAAAATATTTTTCTTGGTGTTCTGATAATGTTGAGTTAATATCGCGATTCACCTGATTTTACCGACACACAAAAATTCCCATTCAATCCATGCTAGGCCTATTCTGTATTTTCTAGATGGCTTTAAAATGCACAAGAAAATTATTAAAAGGTTAAAGGGAAATTCTTGTGTTTTATTTATCAGAATTTCACATTATAAAGGGTGTAAAGGGTTATCAATGCACTCTGAATCGGATTGTTCTCATTCGAGTGTTCTATCATCTATCGAGCTCTCCAGCCGCAGTGAGTGAACTTTCACCTCGACCCTCAAACAGACCTTTTTTTGCGGTAAGAGCTGACCATTTTACCTCCAGCCACACACTCTCCGCACGCACACACTCACACACACACATACCCCTTCCCTCCCTCCCTCGGCCCTGCTCGGCGCGGATCGATAGTGCAGCATCTGCTGCGGGAAGACAGCGGTCCCACATCGCACTGGAAAATTTTTCAAGCGCTAGAATTGCTCATCTCTAAAAATTAAACTGACAGACAGATATGATTAATATTCCAAGTTTCAAACAACTACCCGCATCAACTCCCACCTCTCTCTCTCTCTCTCTCCGACGCATACAAACTCACGTCGCATAAATGCCTTTTTTTAAATGGAAACATGACAGAAATGTAATTTTGTTGATTATTAGATAGCGCGGTTTAGGAAAGGTCGCGTGTGCTCTTCAGAGGGTCATAGGTGCGCATTGGATAGCCTAGATCAAGAGCATTGATTTTGTTTAGCACTTCTGTGATTGAGGAGCAAACTCTTATGTTAATTGTCCACTACACTGTAGGCTGACAGCTGATAAGAACCGCTCTCTGTCACTAAGTTTTGTTGCTTCAGTTAATTGCCCTTAGCTTGGGAAAATAAAACTGTAGTAGTAGGCAACATAATCGCTTTGGCCTTCTAATTGGATTACACAGTTTTTTTTTCTCGTACATTTTAAAAATTCCAAATTTGTAATTTATTATTAACAAAAATAAACCTAAACACAATTCTTGAAGGGCTGTAGATTGAACTAAATACAAAATATTACATAAACATCACATTTTATAGCCTATTTAGACTCAAAATATTGCTGCGCGTTTTCAATTTTAGCTAACAGAAATGCAAAATCGCGTTGGCCTAAGGAGGTAACCATAGCAACAGTACGACGAGCACTTTTCGTTAGAATCCTTAAGTGGCCGAAAACTAAAAAAAACAGATGTCTATCATTATTCATTACTTTATTAAAGATTTACATATTACAAGCAGCCTATGGCAAAAGACTTGTGTTTTGTTTACAAAGTCTTTAAGATAGGCTATTTGGATAACTGTGATTAGGGCATCAAAAGACAATTTGGGTTACGCGAGAACCTCAACAGATTGCACCGTGAAAATGTTCTTATTGAATTATTTTTTTCAAGTCACCTCTTCTGAAACTGTATAATTCGAACGCTGTCACGAGCCCCAACTAAGACAATGGCTTCTTGAGGTCCGCAGGAGGGAAGGAGTTAACGAGGGTTGTAAATTCACCCCACATCTGTCAGATTTTAAGAGTGTGACGTACAGAGTAGGGGGGCTGGGGGAAGAGAGAGAGAGGAGAGAAAGAGTTGGGGCCGAAATCGATGAGGATACAGAAGGGCAAAACCACAGAGATAATGACAGCGACGGAGCGCGATGCTTAGACATACATCGGCGCTCATTTTTGACACGATTGCAGCATAGCGAAGTCTGGACATCGGACAAAATCGTACGGCCTTACGCGTCATTTGTGTTGCATCCTCGACAGTTGTGGTCCAGCGAGAATCTAGCGGATAACGGGAGTGAAGGACCGGACCGAGCCGTTGCTTTTTTTTTTTGAACACCGAAATGTGCTGATGACACACAAAAGTCGTTGTTACGTAAAACCGACTGTTGTGTGATGGTAAACTCGGGATTTCTGCAGGTGTATAGAATAACCAATCCCATTATCGGCTTTTAATTGTGTTTTGGAGAGGCTGTTTCGCTTCTCTCCATCCTGTCGGATAAGCTACGTTGTGAGGTAAGCAATTCTTACTTAATTCTTCTCAACCTGTTTTTAAGCCTCGATATGATTGTTAAAGTTAATTTTGAATGTAATGTATTTTATAAACAAAAATAAACAAAATAAGGTTGCTATTAATAAACAAAAAAAGTTACTTGTAACGGAATTAATCATCATGGTGGTTCAAGTATTATAATATTTGCGATTAATCAATAAAGCTGAATAAGTCATCAATAACAAATCAGTGATCATGGTCCTCCTGTCTCTTTTTCAGCTTTGGTCAACAAGGCAAAAGCAAGACTCACATGGATAAATTCAGAAGCATTTATGGAACATAAACATGCTTGCATGACCCAAGATGGTGCCACTGTGATGAAATGTCTCTGAGTGAACACTGAAATCACATTTTGAGATATAAACAGCATCAGGAACTGTTTTTAGATCACATTACAGAAACCACACTCTAGACGGCTAGAAAAACACATCAGCTGGAATTTAAAGAAGAAGTGGGGCAAGGAAGGTACAGATATGGATGGTAATATGGGTGAGATGTCCGTGCACAGCCACATAGAGCTGGCACACAGTCAGGACAGCCGAGCCATGCTGCACTCTCGGGATCTCACGGCTGCTTTCCCTCGTCCCTCTCTGGGAGGCCCCGCCATGGGCCTGGAGTCTGACCACCAGAGCCCCGCGTATGACCACAGCATGGCAACTCTGGGGTACAGCAGGGACCCACCAACCAGCTGTGGAGGCACCTACACCACACTGACACCCCTCCAGCCCTTTGATGACAAATTCCACCATCATCATCACCACCATCCCTGCCTGCCTGTGAGCAACGTCATCGGCAGCTTCACTCTCATGCGAGAAGATCGAGGCCTGGGAGGAAACTACTATACCCCGTACGGAAAAGACTTTGGTTTGGGACAGGGTCTGTCTCCACAGTTGGGCAGTGCAGGCCTGGAGACCGCCATGCATGGCTATGGCAGCCTGGGAAGTCAGAATGGACACAGTAGCCAGATGCTTCCAGGTGGCCATGAGGTCCATATGGGCAGCAATGGGGGTAACATCTGTCGAACAGCACCAGACTTCGGGAGGGAGATGTCACCGCCCTCTCTGGGGGGCGAGCATGGGGTCAGCCACCAGTTAAACAAAATGGATGCCCATCAGCACACTCCCACCTACCACCCCCATATATACAACCAGAGTTATCAGCACCACCTCCAGAGCCAACAGGCTTCCAGACTCGGGGATCTCCCCTCTTCTTCCCCTTCCTCCTCCAGCTTGGGAAGGGAGGGCATGCTGGCCAGCTCACAGAACGGTGGCGGAGGGGAAGAGATCAACACCAAAGATGTGGCTCAGAGAATCATCAATGAACTGAAGAGGTACAGCATCCCACAGGCCATTTTCGCAGAGCGAGTTCTGTGCAGGTCTCAGGGCACTCTGTCAGACCTGCTTAGGAACCCCAAACCTTGGGGAAAACTCAAGTCTGGCCGCGAAACCTTCAAGAGGATGTCCCGCTGGCTACAGGAGCCAGAGTTTCAGAGGATGGCCTCGTTACGTCTGGAAGGTAAAAAGCTGGTGCTTGTTTAGTTGAATTTGAAATGGATTGTTGTTGTGAAACAGAACAAATCCCCAAAATTAGTAGTAAATCTGGACAAGTATTGTTAAAAACAGTGGCAAGTGGTACATATATGATTAACAACAAAGAAAAATTTCAATTAAAGTTATTCAGTCACAATACATTAAAAGTATCACAAATACAACAGTGTCTTTAACCAACAATTGCTTAACGTAAAGTAAAATATCGGCACTTAAATGTTTTAATAATGCAAAATGAACATTGTGTGTATTATTGAGAAAGAAGTCATATTTCACTTCAAATCCAGTGAATCTTGCCGTGTTACAATGTTTTGACATTAAAGAGGCTGAAATTTTAACTGTTGTCCAAAGCACACAAAGAGATCCAGAGAAAAACAGTAACATGAGAATGGACGAAGGTGGGGTGGGGGGGTGGCGATGCAGGGATGGGGCGGTTTTCAAAATGTCGGCTGGCGTGCTGCAGCAGCCACTGAGGATTGTGGGGTGGGAGACAAACACAAACACGCAGATTCTCCTAAAATCTTTCCGCAAGCGATCAATCACCTGAGCATGAAATACGCTTCAGAATGAATTATTCTGCTTGCATTACCACTACAGATATTGATTGGTGACCACTGTGCCCTCAGTCATAGGGTTGTTCCATGCAACGAAATACATGGAATCAATCAATGCCCTGTTGGCCTGAGCGGTACCGTGTCCTGCTGTTGTTTTCTGTGGTAGTCGCTTAAACATGCCATTGTGGAAATTTTGATTGGCAGTAAATGTTCATTTAGGATGATGAACGGTGTTGTGATAATGTACGCCCTGTTTATTTATGACCTTTTTTTGATATGCATAATGCATAATTTAGGCTTGGATTATTAGTTGGAACATTTTTCGTACATTTTAATTGATATTGGCTGTGAATTTTCTGTTGGCCAATCACCATCTGATGGATTTTTCTTAAGGCTTTTTTCACAGCTTCTGTGCACAAAAGCATAAGTGGACACCTCCGTATTTCCCTATATAACCCACTTTCCATGAGTGTTGACTTTTCTCACCATGCCCTTTGTTTAATTACTAGCTAGTATTGATTTCCTTGGGAAAGCAACGCAGAAGGCTCCAGCACACACCTCCTGTGAATAAGATGGCGTGAGCAAACATTAGAATGCATGCGGCTACACGCCTCCTCTCTCAGAGACAGCAGGCATTCAACTTACCGACACATTTAATGATGATTCAGCTTAATGCAGTGATTTTTAACAAGCATATATCCAACAAATACCCATCCTTTAAAAATCCATCAGCACTTTTTAGAGGAAAAATTATGACACTTTTTTTTTTATCCCAGTGCAAACAGGGCCTGAGATCACACTGCATTTATTGTACAACAAATGCATTTTTTTATATTTTATAAGCTAGATTTATTGACCTAAAATTCTTATCCTGGTTTTCCTAGATATCCTGAATTGTTTCTCTCTTTCTCTCACTCAGTTTTTCCTCAGGTCTTTTGTGTGGATGTGTTCTGTTGGTTGTGTCTGTGTGTTTTCACAAACTGGCTGAGCTTTGATTGGGAGAGAGATGAACAGAGAGAAATTCAGTCGCAGGGCAGGGTAGAGATCATTACTCTAAAGCTCGGCATTCGGACAGCATTGGGATTTCACACACAAGCACTGAAGCCTAAAGCTCTTGTCTTAAGGAATCACAGAGATATAATCTGCTTAAATAGCAGAGGCTTTTTCACTGATGCTGTTACTTTTACATTTTCAGCCCCAAACTATTTATAAAAATTGCATAGTTAAGTTTAGATCTCTGCCGCCATGCAGAGATTGACAATAAATGTGGTTTGGCACATAGAAGCTCCCCTTTCATCCAGCACTAAAGGGGTTAAAGCTCCTCTATAGGTCGGGGAGTCTGAGCAGCACAGATTTAATCAATAATTTCTATCAGCCCCTGGCCGAAAAAAAATCAGCAGGGGGTGGAGTAGGCAGGGAGTACGGCTTCGGGGGGAGAGGG